TTAAGGACACCGTGTTCTTGGAAAACACACTGAATCTAATTTCTTTTTTATCTTTTCATTTGCCCTCATCGTGTACCAAAGCTCAGGAGTCAAGGGAACCAATGCCCTCTTCTGGCTTCTGTGGACACCAGTGCATACATGGCATATATCCACACAAGCACATACATATGAATATCAAAATAAATCTTTCAAAAAGTAAGGCATTACTTAGCAGCAAGACACTGCATTAATGATATGTTTAGGGAGAAACAGGACAATGTGAGGGAAATGTCTTCTGATTTTCAAGTTCTATAATGTCAGCAGCCTTCCTGTTCTGTCATTTTGGCGTGTCTCCCCCCAGCCCCCACGAGGCAATCCACTTCCTTCTTTGTGTTTTTTTTGTTTTTGTTTTCATTTTTTTTAGGGGAAATGAAAGTTGTTCCAGATGTTGAGAGAACTATGGAATGGCATTTCACATGCAGAGAAAGATAATGTAAAAATATAAAAGCTGGCATTAATATATTCATATTTTATTATTGAACACATTGTCTTGTTTCCCTTAATTTGTGTTAGTACTTACATAACTTTACAAAGTCTTCTTAGACACATGACTCAGACGCTGATCTCAGATTCTACCTCAGCTGGGATTATAGGCATGCACCACCACACCTGACTCCTTTTCCATTTAAAAAATGTTTCAGAGTGCATGCCTACAAGAGGCCAGATCAAACAGACTTCAAAGAGAGCTCAACCATTACCTTACAGCTGCCTAAGGACTAGAGTGTAATCTCTATGACAATAATAATAACCTCTACAACTGTGTTAAATGTGAGAACCTCTGTTACAATTTATGGGTAAGAATAGTAAAACTCAGACATACTGTGAGTAACACACGAAATTTCTCAAAACCAGTAAGAAACAAAGCTAGAATTTGACTCTGGATGCAAGGTTAGGTATTACTCTATTATGCTGCTGGTCAGTTAATAAAAAAATCTAGATAAACCTCAAAGCAAAGTGCTGACAAACAATATTAGTGATGATGAATCCTCATTAATACTTACTGAGTTCTTGTGAGATAGAATTCAAAGAGTTTTCACACGAAATCATTCAGTTACATTAAATGAGCTAACCTTCACAGCAACCTCCTGAGGAAGAACTATTATTATCTTCATATTACAGGTGAGGAAAGCGAGACACACAAAGGAAATTCAGCCCCAGAGGTCAGACTTTTAAGTGTTGTACTATATTGCTTCTTAAGTACAAAAATTATATAGCACAACAATTTCTAAATGGCGCTGTGGAAGTTAATTATAGCCAACAAGTAGAAGATACCATTCACAGAGTACTCAGTACTGTTGATGTCTTTGATACACAAAAGTCGTCCGAGCCTTAAATAAGGCCTGCCCATGGGTCTATCTGCTTCAGGAACCAACCTTAGGTCCTGCCTGCTCCAGGCCTCAGTGGACATGACCTTCTGTGAGATAAGAGGCAGCAAGACACACCCTTGTTGGTACAGAGGGAAGTGGGGGGTGGGGTTTGTACAGGAGTCATATACATGAAGGAGGGAGACAGTCCAGAGTCAGGATTCCACTGAGGCTCACTCAGGACAAAAGCTAGAGGGAGAAGTTGAAAAATGATCACCCTCTTTAGTAAGAAAATCCTGGTACCAAAGGAGAACACCACCCGCTCAGGGGGCTTTGTACTTATTAACCCACCATTTGTCCACACACTGACTCTTGAACACATCATAGCTTTGACTTTTAAAGAAACATTTGTTCAGCACACAACTTGGTTTCTAAATAATACCCATCCCTTAGTGACAGCACACATCCAAATATAACCATCCCAAAACATTTGAGTTCGGGTGCAAAGGGTGATAAACTCTGCCCTCCTTCAACTTGTTCCTAAGTTTAGACTAACTCCTGGAGACTCAGGGGTGAGACTGAGTGAAATAAGCAGGTGTGGATTAGTGTAAAGGTCCAGGCAGTCACCAGCACTGTTCTGCCTCTTGGGGGTCCAGCACAGTATTGCCAGCCCTGGAGGCTTCAGATTGCCAAGAGAATATATTCTAAAGGAATTTGTTCCAGATATAGCTCTTACTGTGTGGCTTCCCAATTCCTCTTTTCCAATTCTTTTTGAAGAAAGGGGAGAGGAAAAGAGTCAGAAGGGAAATGGTAGGGGCTATCTTTGAATGGAGTCAGACACTTGCAGGAGGCAATGGGAATATCAGCACCTTTCTCTTCTGACCTCAACTGCCCTTTCTCTTTGCTTGCTGCCGGCTGTCTTCATAAGCCTTTTGCTGGAATGATCTCTTCAGCAAGGAGGCAGTGTTGAGTCAATTCTAAGTCAAAATTTTAAAATTAGCCATGACCTGAAAGGCATTTTGTTTATTTTGAGTTTGGTATTTTACTCAGGGGGCAGCCTAGGAGACTCAAGACAGAATATTAACTTAATCTCCAAGAACCTCACATAATTGAAGGAAAAAAGCTGGACATTTGGACCCCATAAAACATACTGATTTCCTTACTTCCTCCTTTCCAATCCCCTAAAATTCAAGTGTTAAAGTGACAGGAAGAAACACTGCCCGTGACATCGTCTTTGTCCCAGTCACCCTGGGCTTGACTATGGAGCTGTTTGGGCTGTCAATAAATATTTACTTGGGGGCTAGGCAGAAGGCTCAGTGAGGTGCTTGCCATACAAGCATGAGGACCTGAGTTTGGATCCTTAGCAACCACATAAAAGTCAGTTGTGATGGCATGCCTCTCACCCTTGTGTTGGGGAACAAATGACAGGCAAGTCCCTAGAGCTCATTGGCTGGACAGTCTACTGGAATTGATGAGTTCCAGGTTCAGGGAGAGACCCTGTCTCAAAAAGTAAGGTGGAAAGTGAATGGAGGAAGACACCTGATATTGGCCTCTAGCCTCCACACCCATGTGCACACATGTACCCACACACGTGTGCTGTTTGTCTCATAAAATACACAGGCATACACACACACACACATTTATTTGATCTTAGCCAAGCTGACAGTGTTTAGGTAACCTAGGGTTGTTTTTCTCCCTGGGAATGACCCTGTGTTGTTAGCCAATGCTGTGACAACCATACTTCTGAATCAAATCCCGGGCAGACTAGGCTGCAGGCACCCCTCTCTGTGGTTGCCCTCTGGCTGTGATTTTTTGGAAGATTTTTGGAAGCACCGAAAGCGCACTGTCATCTGACCTTTGACCTTCAGCGTTCACTTGCAATTGTTGAAGGAAAATGTTAGTGGAACATTGTGGGCATTTACTATTAAAACCAGAAATGATGTTTCCAAAAAGAAAAAGATACAAAAGGGCAGGAGGTGCTGCACAAAGTTTTTTGGTTGTGTTTATTACTTTGAAAGGAAAATTCACTGGAAGATTTACTGAATTAACCATACTGACATATCTGTGTTATCAGGCATACACCATCTTAGTCAAATCATTTCTCTTCCATATGACTATCCACTTCCAATGTTGGTCTGTTCATCTACCATCCTCCGTGAAACCAGCAACATTTACTATGAAATCCTGAAATGATGTTTCCAAAAAGAAAAAGATACAAAAGGGCAGGAGGTGCTGCACAAAGTTTTTTGGTTGTGTTTATTACTTTGAAAGGAAAATTCACTGGAAGATTTACTGAATTAACCAAAGGACATTTTGAGACTGTTTTTATCAAGAAACACCAAGAGAACTGACTCCTTCTAGCATTTGTTGACTATTCAGTGCAAGAAAGGAAGGAGACATAAAAGGTCAGGTTCCCAGCCAAAAGCAGCATATCATGTGCAACGGGTGTGGCAGACGTGCAAGGATAACAAAGCTAACATTTAGGGAGCACTTACTAGATGCAACTAAACACTTTATGTGTATTAACTCACATAATCCCCACAACAACCCCAAGGAAAAATACTATTATATCTACTTTACAGAGCAGGAACAGACCTGCCCAAGTTAGTAAGTGGCAGCCAGCACCTAAACCCAAATTGTCTGGCTCCAGAGCTAGGTTCCTAATCACCAGGACATTTTCTAAAATTGTAATGTCGACAACAAAGCGCCGACATTCAGGAAAGAGAGATTTCTGGCTAGAGGGCCGGTTAAGGGAAGGTTGCATGGAGGATTGACATTTGCTTTGGATCTTCACGGTCAACAGGCAGAGGCAGGATCTGGGGAGGATAGAATCACAGGGGGAAGGAACAGCCTGACAAAAAGCACAGCAGTTTGGGTATCCGCCAAGTGATGACAGCAAGCTCTAGTTGAGGGCCTGTGTGGGAGGAACGCTGCACAGGGAGGCCTCGCCAGACCCTTGCAGGTCCTTGGGGATTAGGCCCCCCATCTTTAAGACACTGGGGAGCAAAATTCTCAAAGCAGCGGAGCTGCAGAAAGGGATTTGTGGTCATCACTCACTTTCAGCAGGGTCTCTCCTGCCAGAGACTAAGGCAGACAGCATTCCCTGGTTTCTGTCTGGGAAAACAACACGTGGAAATGGTCAAGGTCGCGAGCAGCAGGTCCAGGCAGAGGAGCCCTCGTGTCCGGGGCACAAATGCCGTGGATTTGGCGACCAGCCGGGCCTGGACACGTCAGGAAGGTGTGCGCTGCCCGGGCATGGCGGCGATAAGCACCGATCAGCGGGTACAGGAAGACCTGTCCTCTGCGATTCCCGCCGGGCACCTCCTTCCCGGCTCTCCTGGCCATCGAAGGTCAAGGAGGATACCCTCTGAGGACTCTGCTGCCCGCGCCAGCCCCTCGACTCCCCCAGGAATAAAAGCCTCGGCGATTGGAGCATGCTGTGCCAATCATCCTAGCCTCCGCCTACATCTCCACCGGCGTAAATATCATTGGTTGCATCATCACGAGCCTCCGATAAGATTCTCTTCCTGGATTGGCTGCTGGAGCGTGTCCTGCCCATCCCGTTTGTGTCAGAGGGTCGTGATTGGGTAGCCGTGTTGCCAAGCTCCGGACGCGGCCTGGCCATTGGAAGCCGCCGGGTGCCCCCGCCCGCTAGGTGAAGGAGAGAGTCTCCTCCAGTCCTTGCGCCGGGACCGCACCGAGCAGCTGCAGGCTCACGCTCCCGGGTCTCGGCAGATTCCTGCGCTGTCGCTATGGCACCTCCGTCGATCTTCGCCGAGGTTCCGCAGGCCCCCCCAGTTCTGGTCTTTAAGCTCACTGCTGACTTCCGGGAGGATCCAGATCCCCGCAAGGTTAACCTTGGAGTGGGAGGTAAGGATGCAGTGCCTTGGAACGTGGAGCGCGTGGGGCTTCGGTGGGAGGAGCCGAAGCTTGGTTTTTAGCGCCTTCTAGAGATGGGGAACCAGGAGAGAAGGCGGGAACCACCGGGACTTCGACCAACCTGCCCATTTTACAGATGCAGATATGGAGTCCTTGAAAAGGAGAGATGTGTCCAAGGTCACACAGAGCAGGTGTAGCGTCTGGGACACGAACGTAGCTTTTCTAATTCTTTATCCTTTGTAGTACATGTTCTAAAGCCATGAGGCCGCCGGGGATTGTAGAGCGGGAGGAACATCTGAAGTCTGATAGGTTTGGGGTCCTGGTCACCCGGCCAATAGGAAAAAGAGAATTGTTAGCCTGCTGGAGCTGTAGTAAATGTTTAAGTGACCTCCAGGTTCCAGCTAGGAATCTTGTTGAACCCTGTGGGGAAAACCGATATTTGTTTTTGTCCTCAGGATTTGAAAAGCATCAAGTATCATGTCCTCCAGTAGAGAAAGATCCTGCGTGCTGCAAGGGTGGGTTAAGGCTTCCCGCAGGATCTGGGCCAATGGTTCTGCTCCTCACATAGTGGGGAAGGTCAAGCCCAGCTCACATCCCACACGTTTGGGTCTTCATTTCTTGATTGTTTTTCTTGAGTCTTGGACAGCTTAGAGCTTGGGCCTCAATATACCGTTCTGCTAAGAACATTTGTCTCTGAAATTGAAGAGTCTCTGAAATTCCTTTTAACTCTAGCCTCTGGGGACTTACAGCTATCGTTTGGATGTTTGAATCCTCATAGACACTTTCTTGAGTTGTGTTTGGCCACATACAGAGGGCGGCCTAGGAGATGAAAGTCAGTAGGGTAAAGTCCTGTGCTAGGGAACAGGCCTGAAATGCTAGAAGTAGAAATTTTAGAGTGAAGAAATGGAATGATTTGTAGCAGAGGGGGACACAAAGGGATTCAGAATCAGGATTTTTGTAGTGTGTACATATTCCTTGTTACACACACACACACACACACACAGGCACACTTCAAGGAATATGGGGGCAGTGAAAAAAAAAATCCTTAAGTGATGGTTTATTGATGGTGGGGTGGTGGTGCATGGGTATAAATATTTTATTTTCTCAACTTTTGTACATATTTGAAACTTTTCATAATAAAACATTAAAAAACATATGTCAGTGCTGTTCTGCTCATGGAAGGAAGAAATGTGATTTTTTTTTAGCAGAACAGGAGAAACACTGATTGTCTTTACTTAAATCAGAGCAGGTACCATATATATTCTTAACTTAAATTCAATCCAGAACCTTCAAGTGTTTACAACAAGGTGTATTCAGAAGCACTAATGTTAATGCCAAGGTCAATTTGGCAACCTTTGAACCATCTTACAGGGTTTGTTTAAAGATTAAATGCATTCACAATGCTTTTGATGTCTGGCATTATGTAATTGTTAGCTGTTTCTGTTGTTTTGGTATTTCTTTGAGTGTTTCTCATAAAAGACCTATTGAGTAAAAATTTTTAGCCTAAGAACTGAAAAATGAAATAACATTGGTTCAGAAATAAAATATTCATGCAGGGGTGGGGGTGGGGGTGGGGGAGGGAGATCCCTGGTATAATGTCCTGTCCAGATGGCCCTGAATCATCGTGTTTAGTTCAGATACTCATCTCAGTTGTGACAGCCCTTTGTCATTTTTTTTCCAGGAACCTAAGAACTTGGGCAAATGAGTTATGCGTGTAATTGGACGTAATGCCTGCAGTAACTCTGGTGGGCTATTTCCTCCTCTTTCTGTTTAGATAAGGAAGGTGAAGCCCAGAAAGAAGGTATAGTTTGACCACTAGATGGAGAGCTGGGATCCCAGCTTGGTCTCAGGCCCCAGAGTCTTTGGCCCCTTCTCTGGCTGGGGTATTTTCAGATGGCCTGGGGGCAACAGAACTGTACAGAGGGAAGAGGTAGGAGACTAGGACACAGGCTCAGCACTGTGGTCTAGTGAAATAACTTTGGGAGGGTTGTTTTTGAGATTCAGGTAAAATGAGGTCCAAGACTAAATGACCTCTCTCCTAGGATTTAATTCTACCAAAAGCCTACTCCAAGATTCCCTAGCACATTCCATGATTCTACAGAATAGGAAAATTCTGCAAAGACTGCCATCTGTTTTTACTTATTTATTTAGTGTGTTCATGCAGGTATGCGTGCATGTGTATGTGCACATGTGTGTGGAGACCAGTCATTGACACTGTCTTCCACTATTATCCTTTGAGATAGCATTTCTCACTGACCCAGAGCTTACCGAGTGGCTTGACTTGCTGGATATCAGAGAATTGCCTGTCTCCATGATCCTGAGCTCTAGGGCACCTCCAGATATATATGACCATACCTGGCTTTTTACATGGGTGCCTGGGATCTGAACTCAGACCTTCATGCTTATGTGGTGGGTACTCAGTTGGTAGACTGAGGCACATCTCCAGCCTCTAGTCCATTTTCTAATGTAAACTTAGCCTTCTTTTGGTCTAGATAACTGTGCTTGCTTTAGTGGTTTTTAGCCTCTTCAAATAGAACTGTTGAACAGATCTGCTATGTCAGGTGTTTTTAGAGACCTGCTTGGCTCTCCTCCCAGTATCCTTGGTAGAGAGGGGTTTATAGGCTCTTAGGAATGGATGCATGAGGGAAGTGGCAATCTTAGGAGGAAGATCAGAGTGATAGTTGGATTATCTGATTCTCTGTTTTTCCTTTCTGCAAAGCAAGACTGCTGGGACTACCTATAATCTATATGACTGTCCTAATGGGCTTACCCGGAAAGAAAGGACAACATTGCATGGGGAGCATGCTGGTAAGAAGGCTCCTGATGCAGGGTTATTGGGCCGCTTGCTTCAGGTTTTTCTTAGACACCTCCTATTCTTTAAAAAAATAATTGGAACTGGAGAGATGGCTCAGTGATTAAGAGCACTGGCTGCTCTTTCAGAGGACCTGGGTTTGATGCCTAGCATCTACATGGTGACTAACAACTGTTCATAATTCCAGTTCCGGGGGATCTGACACCCTCTTCTGACCTCTGTGGGCATTGCAGGACAGGTGCACTTATGTGCATGCAGGCAATACATCCATACACATAAAATAAATTAAAAATAATGAAAATAAAATATTAAAAAAGCTTATTGAGCTCAGTAATATCAAAGTGGTTTGTTCAAAGAATTAAATGAAAATAAGTAATGTGTTTAGCACAGTGCCTTATATGTACAAAGAATTTAGTAAATCCTTGTTCCTTTTTATTCTCTGTGTACTGTATCTTCATCATTTGCCTACCCCACTGTCCACTCATTATCTAGACTAGAGGGACACTGGGCTCAATGACCCTTTGCCCAGTTGTGTATTGATTTGGTCACTGGGTTCTGTTTTTCCTTTCTCTGAGGTACTGTTTGTAAATCTTTATTCCCCTCTGCCACTGCCTTACTTCAGGCCTTCCTGATTTCCCTTCTGGACTGTCACAGTAGCCTTCTGCCTTAGCTCCCCACTCAGCCCTCTCTGGTTCATTTTCCCTGGTACCACTCAAATGATCCTGTTAAAATGTATAGCTGTTGGTGTCACAGACTCACTCTATGCATTTGGTGGTGATTTCTCACTAAAACAGGAGAGAGACTCCAAGACTGTGAGCTACTTCCCACTGCCACTCCATGGATCCTATTCCTTAGACATGAAAAGTCAGATCCTCAAAACCCTTAAGCTGTCTCAGCTTTAAGGGCCTTGTCAAAGGTGTTCCCCTGACCTGTATGCCCCTCTTCCCTTGTCTACCTTTTAAACCCTTATTCACCTTTCATACTTCATCCCTAAAAACTTCCCTGACCTACAAAGGAGAATTAAAGGCTCAGTGTGCTGTGTTTCCTAGAAGACAGATGCTATCTCTGTGTAGCTTTTCCTAGCCAGTGCCTGGCTTGTGGTACACTCAGTAAGTCCTTGTTATGTTAAATGAGTGAGTGAATTACAGTGGGGGTGAGGAACAGGAATAAACAGGATGGGAGTAACAGATCCCCCAGAGGGAGGAAGAGTGGCTGTTGATAAACTTGACTGGCTTGCTCCTGCCTGTACTTCTGCCTCACTGGGGCAGTTAGGCAGGACGTTTTGAATATGTCTAGAGCTTAACCTGGGAGAAATTGGGCAACAAAGAAGGAAGGGAGCATCTGAGTTGGGCAATTTGTCTTCTGTCACAGTACAGAGAGAGTGGGGCGCTAAGGCAGAAGGCTGCTGTGACAGTCCGTAAGGGAAATCAGGAAGGCCTGAAGTAAGGCAGTGGCAGAGGGGGATAAAGATAAAGATTTACAAACAGAACTACAGAGACCCTGCTCTCAAGTAGTATTACAGGGTTTTTTTTTGGGGGGGGGGGGTCGGAGTGTATAGTAGGGGCTAGAGAGATGGCCCAGTGGTTAAGATCACTGGCTGCTCTTGCAGAAGTTCGGTTCCCAGCACTCACATGGTGGCTAACAACCACCAACACGGGTGCGCTCACCTACATGCAGACAGTACATGCATACACATAAAATAAAAATAATAAATAAAAATTAAAAAAAAATATTAAAAAAACAGTGTATAGTAATCCTAAGAACTGCAATACTATGGCTTTTTCTCCTATATGTTTTATAGTAATTCATTAATGGCATATCATAAATATGAACATATAGCATAGTTGTGTTGTTATAATGTATACAATCACAGACTTGAAGCATAATTGGACTGATTTTTTTTTTTAATTTTATGTGTATGTGTGTACTGCTTGCATGTAGGTAAGTACACCTATGTCATGCAATGTCTACGGAGGATAGAAGAGGCTGTTGGATCCCCTGGAGCTAGAGTTATGGACATTTGTTAGCTGCCATGTGAGTGCTAGGATTTGAACCCAGGTCTTCTCCAAGAACAGCCAGTGTTCTTAACTGCTGAGCCATCTTTCCAGCCCCTGATTTTTTTTTTTTAATGAACACTCACACTTTTGACATGCATCCATTCCATGATTTCTGGAAGCCCTCTTTTGGAATGTTCTTCAAAGCAGTAGGATTCATGCAAGGATTCACACAATCTCTTTGTAATTATTCTCCATTCATACCATCCAACTCTTCGCCAGAACAGATGCAGGTACCGTTTCCCAGAATTAAATTGGTTTTCAAAGGATCAAGATTTGGTAATATTGAAGATATTCACAATAATGAGATACTGCCTCCCAAAACAATTCCCCAGAGAGTTCCAGGAGTTCTTTGAACAGTGGTTGCATTGTGATCAGACTATGTGATCTGTTTCAAGAACAGCTCTACTTGGAAGTAGTTATTTTGTCTTTAAAGAAACCACATTGGATTCTACCTGGTAAAGTAGACTTCTCCCTCCTGTGGCATA